GTTGCTGCTGCTGCTGCTGCTGCTGCTGCTGCTGTGTGTTTTTCTCAGTTTTATGTTTAGGGGCGTTTGTCTCCGGCTGTCTCTCCGCTGGGCCCTTCACTACAGCGGGGGGGACCCTGCTCCCTGCTGCAGCAAAGTGCTGCTGCAGCAACCTGCTGCTGCTGCTGCTGCTGCTGCTGCAGCAGCAACCGAAAACTCTTTCACAAACCTCCCTCTGCAGCGAATAGAACCTGCAGCAGCAGCTGCAGCAGAAAGTGCAACAACCGCTGCAGCAGCAGCAGCAGCAGCAGCAGCAGCAACTGCAGCAGCGGTGACCGACGAGACTAAGGAATATCAGCAGCAAAGCCCAGCTGCGAGTGTACACCGGGTATACGGACAGCAGCAGCAGCAGCAGCAGCAGCAGCAGCAACAGCTGCTGCAGCTGCAACACACAGTATCTGTAACTGTGGCTGCTGAGATCTCCCCCTTGCTGCTGCTGCTGCGGGAGGAGCAGCTGCTCGATGCTGCTGCGCTGCTGTGCTGGGTGGCAAAGACACACCGAGCACACAAGCAGCAGCAGCAGCAGCAGCAGCAGCAACAGCAGCAGCAGCAGCAACGGGAGCAGCAGCAGCAACAGCAGCAGCAACTGCAGCAGCAGCAGGAACAAGCAGAGGCCAAGATTCGCTTGTCAGTGACAGAGCGTTCCGCAGCAGCAGCAGCAACACCAGCAGCAGCAGCAACAGCAACAGCAGCAGCAGCAGCAGCAGGACGGAGCGGGCTGCCTCCCCGTCCCTCCTGGCTGCCCCCTCCATTGCAGCCTGCATCAGCAGCTCCTCTCAGCAGCAGCAGCAGCAGCAGCAACAACAGCAGCAGCAGCAGCAGCAGCAGCAGCAGGGAGTGTATGTCTATGCGTATAGTTGAGGGTTTGTGTGGTGGTGATGGTGTCTTCTGCATGCGTTCTGTCTGCTGCTATGCTGCTGATGCTTGTCTTTTGTCTCCTTCTTTGTTTTTATTTTCTGCTGCTGTTCATGTTGCTGCTCCGCTTATTGAGGTGTACATACACCCCAGCAGCAGCAGCAGCAGCAGCAGCAGCAGCAGCAGCAGCAGCAGCAGCACAGACCTCCTCCTCTCTCTAAAGGGGAGCAGCCTTTCTCTTGCTACGAACACACCTGCAGCAAAACCATCTCCTGCTGCTGCTGCTCCTGCTGCTGCTGCGCCTGCTGCTGATGCTGGTGCTGCTGCTGCTGCTGTTGCTGCTGCTGCTGCTGCTGCTGCTAGAGGAAAGAAGACAGAGCTGTCTCTGCTGTCTCTGTCTGTCTCCTCCCTCCGCATCGACGGCAGCGGCCCCGGCCCCTTCGCCCTCACCTGCGGGCCCCACACACCTCTCCGCAGCAGCAGCAGCAGCGGCAGCAGCAGTAGCAGCAGCAGCAGCAGTAGCAGCAGCAGCACCGCCATCCTCCCTCCCCTTCACCAGGCAGCAGCAGCAGCACCACCCACAACAAAGCAGCAGCAGCAGCAGCAGCAAGGCGAGCAGCAGC